ATGAAACCTGAAGCAGTACAGTACATCAGGTGTTAAATCAGATTATCTCATGTATTGATTTGTGTGGCTGTGTTTTATGGCAGTCCCACTTAACAAAAGAAGGGAGAGACAAGCAGCTGATATTTTGGTGCTTTACAAGGCGCTTTTTCATATATATTTTTAAATATTTAAATGAGTTTTGGAAAAGGGAAATAAGATATAAAACAATAATGACAGACATTAATGTTTTATCTGGGTGTAAGACATAGCAAAAATATTTCACTGAAAATACTTTCCATTTTCTGCGCCTCTCCCCCAAGATCATACTTACCAGCCAGGGGGACTAATCTATAACTTCTACGTGCAATTACTGGTCGCAATTACTGGTCGAGAAAGAACAAAGTGGATGTGTGCTTAAAAGGCATCCTCTTGGACAGCGGTGTTTAATTGATTGTGAAGTACAGTATCCAAGGAACCAGAGCTCTGTGTGGTGTACATTGATGAGGAATGCTTCTTTGAAGTAATGATTTAGATGTTGATTGTTGCATGAAGCTTTCCAAGAGCGACAGTTTTCTCTTGAGCTGCAGCAAGTAGGGCAAGGTGTGAATCTTCTGACTGACAAGAATCATTTAAGTCCAGCGATAAAAGAGCTACTTATTGAAATGATTTGATGTTTGCTGATGGTGATTTCTTGAAACGTCTTCAGCTGTGTTTGCCATAGAAGATGAAGGAGGTGTAAAAGTGAAACCCACACTCATTTGTGTGTGTTGTCAAGAACTTGGCAATGGACTGTGAGTTCGTGATGACTGGAGCGTCATCTTGAAAAGTTATCTACTTTTTATGGCAGCCACAGTTTTAGGAGAAACAAATAAAATAAGGACTTGAAAATCTTGCATCTGAGGCACAAGTATTTTGATGCTAGTTTGAGGACATTTTATGATTGTTATAAAATTTTGTTCTACTTCAACTGTTTAAATTTTATATAACAACATTTGTATCAGACAGCTTAAATTTAAGAAAGATTTTTGCTCGGAGCAGTTAGATAAGACATTTTAATTATCAATGAAATAGAGCTTGTTTTTAGCATAAAATTGATTTAGGGAAATTATGGTAGAAATACTGTTTGATTTATGTACAATCTTTTCATGAAGAAATTGACTTCAGTGTAATTGTCTTGACGTATAATCATACATTTTTGTTTAATAACAATACTAGTAGATTGAAGCAAATTATAAGAGTTTTATTATTGTCTTGATAAATAGATGTACAGAAGAAGTTAACAGTTCATACGAGGGGTGCTTTGCATCCATTTTAAGAAAAATCTTTAGCTAGGATTGAAGATAAGTAGCAAATATTAGAGATATGAAGGTGGAGGGGGTATCTATCATAGGTGAAGAAGGTGACAGTCTTATCAGTTGGATTTGATATTTAACCATCCCAGATGAGTAAAGTGGCTACAGCATTATTGCCTAAGACTTCAAATCACATCTCTTCTTTCATTATATTTTTTCAAGATACTGTGTTACTCATAAATATGAATCAAACTCACTTTTTGGAAGTTTCAAATCCTCGTTTTCAATGTTACCAACAAAAAAACTGTTTTGGGTAAAGTAAGTCAGTATTTTTTATCTAGTGATTTGTTACTACAATGAAAATATTGACAACTATTAAAACAAAATTCACCTGGGGAGTATTCTTGGTAAGTCAGAGTTAACGCATTTTGTACAGTCTACAGCCAAGTCCATGTCTTAGTCTTATCAGTAAATTAAAAACCTAAAAAGTTTTATTCTTGCTTGACTCTTTACTGGGAATTTTGGCCTCTATGTATCTGTGCTGTTAATTGATAGCTGAGATTGATTGTGCTGTGTTAGCCTCCTCTCTGGGGATTTTGTCAGACGGCTCATGTCCTGAGGGAAAATTAACATTGATTGATGTGAATTAATATTTAATTAAGTCTGTGTTGGACAAGGAAAGGTTAATTATTCTTTTAGGAGGTTGGAATGGCCGTTTTTCTTAAGGGAAATATCACAGGAGTTAGGATTGGAAAGTCGGCATTACCAGTTGGACATTAGTGTTAATTGCTGTTAATTGGATTTTCTTTTGTGTTAATTAGGGTTTGTGTAAGCAAGGTAATTATCTACAAGTGAGAACTGGTGTTATTTTCAATGAAGGGTAGCTTGAAAAGGTTTGTGTTGGTATTCCAAAATCACCCTGAATATCAGAGTGCTGATGGTAATTTATACATCCACTGTGAATTTGCTCTTCGATTCATTGACACAGTATAGAGAATTATAAGTAGATCCAGAAACTCGGGGTATTAATATATGCAGCCTTGATAAAGCACTGATGGTAATTTACATCCATTGTGATTTTTTTCTCATATTCATTGACACAGTATAGAAAATTATAAGAAAATTATACAGGAAATCAGGGTGTTAAAAATTTAAGGGGGTTATTTGCACAAATGCAGCATTGATAAGTAAACTAATTATTTGTGTTATATTCAGTTAGTGGTATTTCCATATTAATGGTCAAATTGATTTTACTTTAAGGTAAAAAATGCCAGCAAAAATAAACGAATGATAAGTTTAATGAAGGGGAAAATGAAAAAAAAAGTAAGTTGTTTAAAAGATATTTTAGGGTAAAAGGAAAAATTAACCACTCTAGGCAAGAGACACGCAAAGAGTCATCATAATTGATTTTTTGTTTATGTGTTATTCATCATTTTAGCATTTGGCATGCATATTTTATCCAAGGTTCAACAAAAATCAATTAAGTTCCAGGAAATAAAGCATTCTAAAACCATTGCAGATTATCTCTAAAATCAGATAACTATGAAGCTAGAAGCAGAATGAAAAAACTTACAAAAAGGCATATCACTAACATTCCTAGGATCAGGGAAAAAAGGCTCACCTTGAAGTGACACCTCTTTGATAGTTTTGACGTCATTTGTAAGTGCTTGGAGTAAGTGTTGAGTGGGGAGCTGATATCCAGTGTCAAATACAAATGACGAGGGCGATTTGCAAGTCAGATGAATCTGCCAGAGGTCTGAGAAGGCGAGTGGGTACATAAATGCCTTGTAGATTAAGCACTTGCACTCGAACACTCAAGAGGCTTGTACTGTTACACTCATATCAGTGCTGAAGATTTGCACTCTTGTACTGGAGGGCCGTCATCAATTTTGACCATTTTGACATATTCAGAACCAGAGCTTGACTTGGACAAAAACGGCTACCCTCGGAACGGGGACCACCAGCATAACCAACTTACGAAGCGCCTTCAGAGAACATCTGCAAGGCTGTACTCGGCTGTGCATAGGATTTACATCACCTAGACATTTGAAAATAATACACAGTGGATAAAAATTTTTAATTAGAAATATTGCCTGATTAATTATTATTTAACTTTATTTAAATATTTCAAACTGCCATTTACCAGATATGAGATATGTCACACAGGAAAATCACAAAGACTTGAAAAACAATTTAGGGCCAAGCTTTTTGGTCACTGAATGATAGACTTATTGAATCTGCTCCCATACTGTTAAACTGATTCTCTCCAGTGATGGATATGGACCATTTCTGGGCAGAAATAGCTCACTCTGAGGGTTGTATCCCATATCAGACAAAGACGTGGCTACAGGTAGGAAATACTATTGATGTTATAGATGTATAAGTTGAATGTATACCACACTTTCAAATGTTTAATTAAAATCATCAGCAGGTAGGCAAGGGGAAACTTGAACAACGAGTTTTTCTGCGTACTCGGGTGTACATTTTCTTCCTTTTGGTTTTACACTGGTTTTAGTAGACCATGTCTGCTAATGATGCTATTTCTTTTATGTTCATTTTCTTTTATTATTATTTTTTTGCATGTGTGTAAGAAAAAATTAAGATATCTTGGAAAAGTACAAAATTCACGATTTTCCCAATTGAAAAGACTGAGTCATTACCATAACTATAAAGAACTATTTAAAAAACTAACAACAGATATGTCTATAGGAGTATGAAGATTGGATTAGCATATTTATAGACTGTGAAGGACAAACTATTTCTGTCCCAGTATTCTCTTTCTCTATGTTAGATGTGGCCATTCTCATTAATTTCTTTCAGTAAAAAATCTTACTTTTTCTTGGGTAATTTCCCCTTCAGCAACTGAATATCATTTTCCAACATATTTCAGGAAGCATCCAATCCTTTTTATTGAATTCACATGAAATTCTATCTAAATTTCCAATATTTCAGTATTTTTACTCGCTTTCTAAGTGCTCCTATACTTGCCGCAGCTATCCTGTTGCTTTATCATTCAGATCATTAGACTCCCACATCCATACTATTTTTGACTCCACACAAGCAACATTTATGAGGTTCATGTAATTCTAGTTTACTGATTGCTGTTTCTGTGAATATGTTTTATTGATCTAAAAATGCACTCCTTTGAAATGAATTCTTAAATTAATCATGAAAAATAAATGATACGAAATAGAATCATGCTAATGAGTGTCTTCATGTCTATAACGAGTGGAACAATGAAGTTTCTAAGCATATTGAGCTAGGATCTCCTCATCTTACCTAAAAAGACAATGATAATCTTTCTCTGTTGCAAACAACAACAGCTGTTATATCAATGTACGTTTTACTGTTACGTCAATGCATGCTTCCGATCATACACATACATTGTTTAGTGGTATTTTTTAAAAGGAAATTACTAATATCAACTGTAAGTCTACACTAAGTCTAGTATTCATAACCTGTTTGCCGATCATGAAGTGATATTTTTCTTTGAAACAGCAGCCGAATGCTAACCGCAACCTTTTGTCATAAAAAGTATTTTTCAAGGCAACCAAATTCTGATCATAAACGGCAATGTTGAGACTATCAAGCAAATGCTAACCATAACCTGTTGTCATGAAGGGTTTTTTTTTCAAGGAAATGTCAACCAAATCCTCCTTGCTAGCAAAGTACAGCCCTTTGTTTTGGTAATTTGTGAAAAGCTCACTGTGTTTTTACTTCATTTTCCAGTACTACCTGAGCACCGATGAGCGCCAGGAATACCTCGCGATGCATGAGCCACTTAATTTGCCACAGCTGCGCAAAGAGCAGCGCCGTGTGGCAGCGCTCATGCAGTCGCAACAAACAGTCCGTCACAGCCACAGGGTATGCTTTAAGTAGTTGTGACCTGTTTATAATGCAGTGTCATTGTTTCAATGTATTTTGAATGGTATCTTCAAGTAATATTATGATAAACTGTGAAAATAGTTATTCTCTCATTCATAAATGGTTATATAATCAAACATCATAAAATGTTTGTTTCAAGATAAATTTTATTTAGAATAATAAGAAATTCTTTTCTCTGCCCATGGGCTTAATAATGATATTGGTATTTGACTATCAGTTTGGGTTTGGAAAGCTTGGCTGTTACTTTTTTTCAAAGTATTGTATTAAAATACAAAATCAGTTATATTATAAAGTGATTATTATTAAATTACTTAATCCAAAAATAATTATTTGTTATTTTTGGGCAGGTAAAACGGCACCCCCTCAATGTGGACTACCTATACTGGTGCTCTCATATAGATCCAGATGGTCATCACCGAAACCCTGCTCTAGACCATCTAAAACATGGCCTCCGTGCTGTGCGGGGTGAGCACCCATGTGACTTCTTTCCAAACAATTCTCATGAGTGCAAAAACAATGACAAGAACAACCCAGATGGTGTATTTGGTACCAAAAAGAAGAAAGTCAAAGAAAGCAAGAAAATTGCACCAGAGGAGTCCCTGGTCTTACCTGGCTTGGACTTCAGTGAGGATTACGACTATGATGCATGGAGGAGGAGGACTGCAAAGGGACGCCATCTTGTTCAGTCCTTGGATTCTACCCTAGATGACCCGGATTTAAGGAAAAATGGCCAACCTCTTGGTCAGTCCTTGGACAGTGCACTGGACCAGCGTGTGGTCAAACTGCCCTCTATCTCTAAGACCAACAAAGTGACTACGCAGGTTAATCCTAAGAGGGAAAATGGACAGCAAACCTCAGTGAGTAACAGTAATAAAATTGGACAATCTAGTCAAGTAACCTCAGTCAGTGCAGAAAATTCTCTTTCAAACATTTCTATGACAGAACCCTCAAATACGACTTCGAGCAGGGCAAACTCTAAAAAGAAACCTGGAAAGGTGCAGTTCGGTGTTAAGTCTGAATACTTTTACACTGACGGCGACAGTCAAAAGTTAGAGCCACATGTATCAAGGTTGGACTCGCAAACAAGTCTCATAACTCAAGTTCAGGCAGCAAATGAGAAGCCAGTCATAAGAAATGACACGCCTCCTCGCCTTCTGTATACACACATAAAGGAAAAACAAGGGAGGGACCGCCTGGCGTCCATGATGTCCCAGTCAAGGGGCAGTTCTGGCGCTGGTTGGTGCGAGTGTGGAGAAGAGTATCGCAAGGGTCAAGGGGGACTTTGCAAGAACTGTGGGAAGAAGAGACGTAAGAGCAAGAAAAAAGATGAAGAAAAGCTGGACAACATGTCAGATTTACAATCGGGTCAGTTGCTGTATAATCGTTATGGCATAGAGGACACTCCCCCTGTTGTCTCACCTGATATAGAGAAGTTCTTACTGAAAAGCATCCTTAAAGATAAAAACTCCGAACGTCAAAAGAAGGAGAAAAGAGAAAGCATAAATGATGATAGTAATACAGTTACTTTTGAGAACAATATAGAAGAGGAAGTGGAGGAGGAACAGGAAATTGCCAATGGTGAAACTGTTGTTGAATCCAATAATAAACCCATAGGAGAGACCTTGGCTCATGAAGGTGAAGACCTTTCACAGCAGTCCAGTGAAGATCTGCTGCCACTGACTGACATACACAGGGATGCCTATCTTGCCGCACTTAACGAGGCACGTTTTCGTGTCCTCCCTGAGGAACCATGGATGCTGGGAACTAACGTGTCTCGTGCATTTGTATTTTCATACTTCAAACACATTCCTGAAAACTGTGAGTGTGAAAAATGCTCCAATGCCAGGCTTGCCAAAACAGGTGGTGCCAGGAATAATCAAAAGAAGGTGGTGCCTGTGTCTAAGAAGAGAGCAATTAAATCCAAGACCAGTGAAATGACTTCCATATTTGGTGATGTAAAGATATCAGAACATTATCCTGGGGGTTCTAAAGGATGGAGACAGTACAATATCCCCGTGAAGCGAAGCAGGAAGAAACTGGAAACTGTGATTTCCTCAGTGCAAAACCTTGATGCTTAAATAATTAAACTTTAAAGATCAAAATTTGTTTTATAATAACAATTTTAGTTATTATATGACAAATATTAAAATTTTATTGATGTGATAAAACATTGATTAAGCAACTGTTCATAAGTGATATATATTTTGACTAAAGGAAAAGTGAGTTCTGATGAATACATTTCTATATTCTTTGCATTTGAAAAAAATCCACACATTTCAGGATCATGAGTAAATTAATGTTTAATTTTTAAAGAATTTTAAAAATTATTTTTGTAATAACAATTATGAAAATTTTCAATAGAATAAAAGATTAAGAACTTATTGATGCCTTATTGAGTTTTTTTTTCTTTTTAAAGTAAAAGTCATAAAACTACTTTTTGTCTCCTGATTGAAATTTTTACACCAAAAATATTTTGATACAGGAGGGAAGTATTTAGAGGGCTGGAGAGAGGGGAGGTCACCAACAACAGCTCCCAACCAAAGACTAACAGCTAGTGATGTACTTCAGACAGATGACATCTGTCAGTATAAAAAATAACAGTTTGTGACAAAAGAACATTTATGATTTAATATCAGTACCAAAATGGTGAACTTATTTAAACAATGCTATTATTTTTAAGAGGCAGTATTAAGTTACTCTTTGAAATGTTCAAACAAACAAGAAACGTCAACTTAAAAAAAGCATGCCATCTTGTAGGAATTAATTTTTATACAATAAAACGGGTGACCTTGTGCCGTCTTCACTAACACATCAAGGAGTTACAGTTTTGAGCAAGGCTGACGTCAGATTGTGATTTTGCAGCACTGGCGCATAATTTATCTTTCTAAATTCTTAGCACAACTCCACAGGTGAAAAAACAGATTAGCTTACAGATCTTGTAAGATTCTCTTAGTATACATTTCTTTTTTCATGTTACTGTATCATATTATCTTTTGCAAATAAATAGGGATCTAGCATTTAAACAAAGATTGGCAAACTAAAATATATTTTTTGCCTCCTTTTTTTTATTTGCAAACTTTTATTTTAGGGGTGGATAAGCGATGAAACTCACCCCAGTTTTTTTTAACTTACTCCTTTACAAAGTGGTTTCTTTCAATTGAAAATTACAATGGACAATTTATGTCCTGATATCTAAGAATTCAATAAAAGACCAAGATTTTACTGCAATTTTTATTGCAATGAATATAGCATAGATGCAGTACACATAAAACGAACTATACATACAGTGTATAGCGATGCAAGAATGGGGATTCTGTTCCCCCCAACATTACTCATGAAATGCTGAAATCTAAGCACAATGCCAAGGTGGGGGAGGGGAGGGGGGGTCTCACCCCGCAGCACTACCCATGCAATGCTGAAATCAAAGCACATTAGTTTGTGACTTCTTTTTTTAAATGGACCATATTATAGGCCATCTTAACAAAACATTCACTGGCAATCATAACAACTACTCTATATATCAATAGCATTCTTACAAAGCCTACATTTTTACATGTATTAGCTAGATAAATGGGTCATTCTTCACACCAATGGCATTCGCATCAATGACCTTTGGCCTATATATTTGACTGACAAACATTTTCTGGCTTTTTCATATTCAATTAATTGCCCCCATAATGTATGTAATGTGAATTGCACCCAACATTTGTGAGTTAAAAACAAGACAAAGAAATTAAGAAAGTAAACATCAACATCTCACCGGGTGCTTACAGAAAAAAAAAAAAAAAAAAAAAATTAATGAAGCTTTGTTTGTTAAAAATGGACAGTTTAGGCAAACTGTTATTTAAAATTGACAGCATTAAAAAAGGAAGAAAAATAATTAAGACTTATAAAGTCTTGGGAACCAAAGCATACAAAGGATACTATTGGTCAAACGGATTAAACAGTAACATATCCAAAATGAAAACTGACTTGTCATTGGTCAGACTGACCATTTCTAGCAACCAAGTGTAAGCTTATTTGTCATTGGTCATACAATACATCTCATCCAATAGATATGGCATGATTCTATATATATTTATATATGTATACTTATAACTATGTACAGTGGTGTCGTACACCAAGTTTACAAATTGTAGATATATATTTACAGAATACATAATAAATATTACAACTAAAATGATAACTGTGTTGGCATATGGAGTAGTGCAGGAGCAAGTGAACAGAGAGCAGTGAATGAAAATAATTTTCACAAATTAGCAGTAAAAATCTCAGGTCTCAGTCCAGACCCTCTGCAGAGTAAAATTGCAAAATTTATGGCCTGGGATTTAAAAAAAAAAAAAAAAAAAAAACAACCCAGACCCTATGGTTCATGATCATTTTGAAAATTTTTCGACCAATCCTCTACAAAACTTAAACTTTCCTCTCCTCTCTTTTGTTCTGCTCTATTTTCAGCCATCACTTGCTGTCACATACCAAATTTGTCACTCTTACACTAAGAAGTATATAGAATACAGTGACTTTGAAATCACCAGTCAAAAGAAATGATACATGTAGCATTGGTAACAAATGTAAAGGATACTCTAAAATACAGAATGGAGAACAACAACTCATACATTCTTAGTTTTGAACCTGCCCATTTCTTTATAATACATTCTTAGTTTTGAACCTGCCCATTTCTTTAAAATACAACATAAGTATATTGAAAGGGTATTTCAGCATAAATATAACATTCCCCTTAATATGTTCCACTCACTACATAACAATCCATTCAAACTAATTGATTTTCAAATCTAGCCTTATTGTTGACTAATGGCGGAAGCAATGATATTTCTCTCAACTGTGTTCCAAAAGAAAAAAATCCAGTAACCACAAATCTGCATTCTCAGCCTTAAAGAACAAATACATAAATATACAAACAGAACTTCATCTAAGAAAAAATTCATACAATCAATATAAGAAAATCTGAAGTTTGAAATAAAGTTCATAGTTGGCAATGTGAATAATACATACTTCATAGGGGTTACTGTAGCCTTTATTGGCAGACACTAGTTCACTCAACAAAATTAATTTTTTCAAACAATTGTTCACACACGATTGGCATAAAAGTACTGAAGCTTTGTGTGGCTCACTTTTGGTAGCACCAATTTTCTCAGTTTATTTGTTGCAACTGTTATCATGGTTTCACTACATAAGCTGGGAAAATGATCAGGAGTAAACAGCCCAACCACACTGCCATTTTAAACATGATGCTGCACATTTTTTTTAACTTCAGTTTTTCTTCTTTTATAACTAATTCCCATGCAGTTAACTAGCCTTCAAAGTCAAATAAAAATTCAAATAAATAACTTGACCAATAAAGAAGGCCTCAGCAAGGTATTTCATTAGGAAGGCACTCAGAACAAGACAATCTGCAGACTACCAGATACACGGATCAAATATGGCTGACCAACATTACAGCAGAGCCAACTAATCCACTGATGGTCCCCCCGCCTCCACAGACGCCGTCCTTGCAGGGGCCTAGCAATTAAACCTCTGAGCCCTGATTTGATCTGTTTAATGGCATATCCGCAGGCGGGGAGACCATCATTGGATAAATCGACTTTTTTTTGGCGGGACAGCCATATTTAGTACGTAGTTCAGTATGTCTGTGGATCATCTGTTCTGAACGCACCCTATGGCCCTATTCAGAATAGGGGACTAATTAGTCCTGGGGTCAAAAATGGCTGACCCACTTGAATACTTCCCCACGGGATATCTATTTAGTGCCTATTAGGGAATTAGATGGCGAACTTTGTAGTGGGTCGCCATATTTGACCCTTCGCCTAGTTAGTCCCCTATTTTGAATACACTCTATGTTACTGGTCTTAACTCAGGGTTGCGACTCTAGTCAACAAAATTGTTAAAAACATGCCATACCAGATTGAATGTCAAATTAGCAACAACATGTTGACTACATAACATACACTTAGATAAAGAACAATAGAGTATTGGCAATGCATAAACCTATATTTAAATGGTTATTATACAACCATTTTGATTACATATAAAACATAACAATGTAGAATTATGACAAAGCAGTAATACTGCATGAAAATATGACATCACCAATGAAGCATGACATCATGGATGAAAATATGACATCAGCATATCCATCAGTGTTGTAAAACTACTCGATACATGTTACATACAAAAGGCCATTCTTGCCATATATGCAAGCTCCTCCTTTAAGATATAACAGTACAACATATAAAAGCCTTCACAACATTTGGACTAACTTATAGCAGACTTTATCATCTCACCTTTTTGAGCCCAGTTTAACAGGTAAGCAGTGAGATTTCAAACAGTTCTAGGGTTAGACCCCCTTTGTGATCAGATGGCAATATTAACAAGGCAGCNATTCATCAGCTCTGTAAATATAAAGCCAAAAAGTAAAACTGTCTTCCACTTATCGTGTTTACAAGGAAAGTGCACGGCGGCGACGGCGACAGCGACGACGGCGACGGCGACGACAGACGCAGGTGATGGCAATATGTACAGACACATCTGTGTCTGTACATAAAAACGTGAACACACCGACTGCCTTCACAAGAAAACTTTTGAGCTCTAGCAGCCTTACACAGAAGCAAGCCATCTTTTAATAAGACCAATGTGTACTGCCACTTTCTTAGGCGTATTAAAGAGTGGTATATCTTCAAGAAGGGAAGAATTCCTGGCTAGTCTCACACTAATCACTAGTAAGGACCTGTGTTTCACATACATTCAAACCAAAAGGGTATTTTAAAACCGATTCTTAGCAATTTTGCACTAAATGCAATTATAAGGTGATTACACATTACATGAACTGATATCATGATGGCATTTGAGTAAACTTGATATGGGTAAGGCCAAGGATAAAATTCTTTGGGGGGGAAAAATCATCTCTCCCAGTAAGCACCATTAGAAAATCCAGTTTAGCCCTGACCATAACAGAGTCTACCATGCACTGTATGCCTTAGAAGGCTAAACATGTCACAGACACCGGAGACATGCAGTTGCATGTTACAATATTGAAACATAGACGATCAAGTTTTATGCACATCGTGCACTTTATCCCAGATGCTGTTTAACGTCGTACAAGAAGGTGAGGCAAGCCTTAATATAAATCAAAACAAATTGCTATTTTTTAAAAAACATTGTGTGTTTTGATTCAAGCCGAGTCATTCCTCTCAGGTAGGATTTTTGTTCAGCGCATTCGAATAGTAACGAGATCAAGCAGTTCAGAGCGTGTCCATGCCTATCTCCACGCTGTTAAATTCACTCAGCGACTTGCTTATTTTACAGCCTCCCTTTCTCTTAGAAGGGTTTTCAGACAAAGAGAGTCCATCACACATGATTCTGTCATCGTAGAGTGAGAATCGCCCAGATTTCATCTGGTAAGGCGTCTTAACGCGTGTTCTTATTTTTTCTGAGCCAAGAGGGTTGTCTTCCGCTCCAGCAATCTTCTCTTCACTGACTTTGGGATGCCTGTTGTTTGGTAACATATCTAAAGTCTTAGACTTGGTATCTTTCCCATGCTGCAGCTGATTTCTCCTAGCGTTCAGGTCAGTAAGGCTATAGCTGGTACTGTCCTTCGTTGTGTTGCGTTGCACAGGGCTTAGGTCCGTCACGCTCTGAGAATTGACGTGATTGCTCTTAGTCAGCAGTATGGCAGCCTGGCCATTACTGGCAGGCTGAAGCTGGGCAACACCTACCTCAGCAAATGCTAGACGGCTCTCTGCTCCCCCGGATCCATTCTGCTCCGCCATGACTGGCAGCATGCCTGGAATTAACGCAGTTTTGTTCTGCGGAGCTGGTCCGGAAGTGCGTACAGGGAGAGAGGTTGGCCGAACAATAGGGGAGCCATTCATCATTCGAACCTCTGTCGGGACACCTTGAGATCGCGAGGACTGCGCTGCAAGGTTACACTTTGCAGCACTTGACAGGCTGGTCGTACCGTCAGATGAACTCCTCTGATGGCCATGACCTTGACCCTGGGAAGATGTATTGTGACTATGGGAAGAATGACTGTCATCTACAAATTCATTCCGCTCTATATTCTGGTGGCTCTTGGATAAAAAGTTCCCATTGAAAATACTACTTCCTTTGCCTTTCCCCTTGGACTTTAATCCAAACATTGCAAATCGGGACTTCTTAGTGTTAGAGGGCTTCGTATGTTTTCCAGCACCTGTGCTAGTGCTTGCTACAGCCTGCCCAACATGAGCGTTTCCGTTCCCTGGCACGTTGGCCTGTTTGGGTCTTGTAGAGGGCAGTGGCGGGGTGTGAACCTCATTCTGTATGTTCAGTGGTATCGGAGGATTATTTCTCACATGACTCAGCACATCGTTCTGAACTAGGGAGGTGCTTTCAAAGTTCTCATTAACAGAATGAAAACCACCTGCTGGTGAGTCCACTTCGTGGTCTGTATTAGAGTGACCGCCACCCCCACCCCCTACGCTATTACCGCCATGTTGTACGCCTGCTCCATGCTGGCTCAATATATTGTTGTTGTTTGACGGCCTTTTGACAGCCTGCTCCGACTCCTTTACCAGAGTATTTCCCAAGATAGCCAACTCCTCATCACTGCATTTATGTGTGTTTCGCTCCACGATGGGATTGCGACCTTGGTGAGGCTGAAGGATCTTGTTAGATTTGGCAAAGTTCATGTTTAGATGGTCTTTACTATTGGACATAGGTTCTCTCCATCCTACACCAGGAGCGCTGTCTCCTTCGGAAGGTGATAACAAAGTCTCAACAGTTGAGGAAGACACGCTGTTCTCCCCTCTACTACTGCTCACCCCGCCACTAGGTGGCAGACGCATATAGGAGCCAAGAGGCACCACTGGATCACTCATACAGCTGTCGTGGACAACACTCCGTGAAGGGACTGTATGGACTAATGCCCCCATGTCGGAAACAGAGGAGTTTGGCACTCGGGTCATCATGGTTTGTGCTCCCTCTGGTACCAGAATGGTGGCATTACGCTGGACGTCTGTCTTTTCTCCTAAACTTACAAGTTGTGAAGTCACCGGGACAATAGGAGATAAGCCTGGAATATTTTGAAGGACAGTTACGTATTCTCTCATGCAAAGATCAAACAATTACAGTGTGCATATTAACCAAAGTATCAGTAATACAAAATCATGAAAGGCAACAAAATACTGTGAAGATTGCTATCTCAGTTCATCAAATAAGTTACTAATACCAATAATATGATTTCAGTCTACTACATTTTAATTGCCACTCAATCTCACTGAATGATCAAATATCTAAATTTATTTCTTTACTTTCTCGCTTTATTGTACCTTTACACTGTTGAATCTGAACAAAAACTATAATGTAAACTACGATCACCCATGATGAATCTGCTAGCCACTGATTTGGCGAGAGAGAGAAAGAGAGAGAGAAAGAGAGAATCATCACCACAATTTCAAGTTCTACTTCTGTCCTTCCTACCTTTGGTTCTGAGATCCCAGAGTGCCATCATGTCTGCCACTCTTTCCTCAACGCAGAGAGACGTCAGACGTGCCTCTGCATCCTGGTCCCAGCAATCCTCGATTGTTTCCTTTAATGCACGGATTGCCTGGAAATTGAAGAATCAAGATGCTCACAAGGTCAAGCATATCACAGGGTATTTCAAGGAAACAAATAATCTATATAAATGGAGCGCATGAAACTCTTTATATTTAAATTGGTATGCTTTCTCTTGTCTCTTTTATTGGACAAAATATTTCAAGAAATTTTGGAGAGATGACTACAAAATAAGCTCCAACTACACATCAGCTCATTTTAAACAGCAATTAAGTTACTGATGTTTTTGCACTTTTATAAGTAGAAAAGGTCATAATTTGCCCACTACTTACAACTTGACTGTTCTGTATCACTTACAACAACTGGTCTCAGTTTTGCAGAAATGCTATTCTTATCAATTTTGTTACTGTCCTGTGATCAACCATGTGACCACTGAGACTCACCTGATTTGTATCTTTCCACACATCAGGGAATGCTGGTCGTTGTTTGTTGCGCGACACAAGCAGTTGCATCTCCTCAAACGACACATGCGTTCCTACTTCTGCTTGGAATGGCAGTTTATATTCTGGCACTGGGAGTCCTGGAATTATGAATTCAAAGAAACCATGACAACTCAAACACCACGGAAACATAATAACCACTGACAACACAAACTTCACTAAGAGTCCTAGAATTATGGCAGTAGCCACGGCAACAGAATTGCCCTGGCAACAAAGTAACCACTGATGATGCCTAAACTCCATGATTTACGGTCTCAAAAAGTCTTTGTCTCAACTGTACCTTATCCTATCTCACCTTGATAGAGATCACTACATCTAGATGCTATTTCCCACAGTATAAGAATAAATTGTCTGGACTATATCTCACCTTGATAGAGATCACTACATCTAGATGCTATTTCCCACAGTATCAGCCCCAAGGCATAAACATCAATCTGCTTCAGGGAGGCCTCGCAGTCGCGAAGATTCACCGCACCATCTAATACCTCAGGAGCCATGTAGCGCAGTGTTCCCACCTAAAACAAAGAAGGATGAGATAATGCACATAGATATTATTGAAACAAAACCCCATTCACCACAGACTTAACGCAAGTTACTTACTGTGTTATTTCATTTGACCTAAATGGTCTTTCTAATGGGAGAATGGAAGAAATTTAAAAACAAAAAGAACCCTGACCCCCCCCCCTCACTTCTAATATTTAAAAAAAAAAAAAAAAAAAAAAAAAAAAAATCCTGCAGATTTTTGTACTCTTCTACAAATGCCCACAGATCTCTCCGAATAAAAGTATTCAATGTGGTTCAATAGTTACTTTCCAACAATGACCACAAACAAAGGCCTTTCCACGTCAACATTACAATGTTTGTCACGTAAAATCTTCAGGAAACAAAGCTCGAGGTTATTTTGTGGTCTCCAATGAAAAAATGCAGCCAAGTCTCTCCATCCCCTCATATTAACCTGCTTTCCCACATATGGAAAATAGAGGTCAGGGAGAGCAGCTCCAGTCTTTCCATTCAGACTCAATAACACTAAAATTCTGGAAAGCAAGTTAACCTAATTTTTAAGTTACAAAAAAAAAAATTTTTTTTAAATCATCACAGCTGTTCAGGACTGAGACTGCCATTTAGAGAAAAAGTCTGAAAATATTGCGTGAGGTCCATGGGACCCTCTCCATCAATCTCTCAAAAATGTCGAAAATCTGCCAAAAGTCGTCAAAATCTTATTACTGGCTGATTGCACAGAAACTATTCAGGTACGTGCACACTTACGTCAGTGAGAGCAGCGTGCTCTACGTTCTCCTCATGTCCGTTCCTGTAGAACTTTGAGCCTTGTATTTTCATGGCAAAGCCGAGATCAGTGATGACACAGGATAAGTCTGGTTTCACCAGTATATTCCGTGTGTTGAAGTCCCTGTGAGCAATGGCGGGCTTTATTTTATCTGGAAAGCAAAGAAGGGGAAAACACCTTCAAAAGATTTGTTTTACGAGTTAAACAAGTAAAATCTAAATATTGTCTGAAGAAACTGATGATTTTGACACGACAACAATGACATTAAGTTCAATTTCCTGATGAAATCTATGGAATATATGTACATGAGAGTCAAATATAAGATTCTATTTTCATTCTTTATTTGACTTAATCTGAATAACTTTATCCAAATGACCAGTTAAGTTTCTGACAATGGAAATCATCCAATTCAACCTAAAAGGGGGCTTTCTGTAGTGTGTTACATCATAAAAGACTAGAGAACATGCAAAAATTCACATGATTTGGTGTTAACCTTTTAGCAACAAGGGAGGAAAATCCATGCTAATGATGAATTTTGTTTAGAAAGCAATTTACAAAAGAAAAATTAGAAACATGGTGAATATGTACTGTTGTGCAAAAGTCTGTAATTTGACAAAACTTTTAGAGAAAACAACCTGGAAAATATCCATTGATAAGTCAGTTATTATTCACTGCTGCACTGCACTTGCAAATCCTTTGTTTTTTACCCATCTCCTCTCCAAATCCAGAGTATTTTTTGCTCGATTTCCCCAAAACTGTAGGCTAGCACAGATGATAACCATAAAAAAACCAATTTATTCACATCAGATTCATATTTCCAAAAGCATTAACTTTTATTCCATGGAAATTTTCAATGGAAAATTTCAACCACAAAAAATAGGTATTTTACTCATCTGAAATTATAACCTTATCACTCTTTTTTATTATATAAATATTGTTTTTTATAAAACAACAAAAGGGCAATAAATAATTGGCTACCTGTAATGGCCAAAAGCCCTACAGAAGCTTTCACAAAATTTTTTAATCATGAGTATCAGTCCTTATACTTAAAGATACAGTTGGTTTCTTTAATAAGGGTNAAAAAAAAAAAAAAAAAAAAAAAAAATCCTGCAGATTTTTGTACTCTTCTACAAATGCCCACAGATCTCTCCGAATAAAAGTATTCAATGTGGTTCAATAGTTACTTTCCAACAATGACCACAAACAAAGGCCTTTCCACGTCAACATTACAATGTTTGTCACGTAAAATCTTCAGGAAACAAAGCTCGAGGTTATTTTGTGGTCTCCAATGAAAAAATGCAGCCAAGTCTCTCCATCCCCTCATATTAACCTGCTTTCCCACATATGGAAAATAGAGGTCAGGGAGAGCAGCTCCAGTCTTTCCATTCAGACTCAATAACACTAAAATTCTGGAAAGCAAGTTAACCTAATTTTTAAGTTACAAAAAAAAAAATTTTTTTTAAATCATCACAGCTGTTCAGGACTGAGACTGCCATTTAGAGAAAAAGTCTGAAAATATTGCGTGAGGTCCATGGGACCCTCTCCATCAATCTCTCAAAAATGTCGAAAATCTGCCAAAAGTCATCAAAATCTTATTACTGGCTGATTGCACAGAAACTATTCAGGTATGTGCACACTTACGTCAGTGAGAGCAGCGTGCTCTACGTTCTCCTCATGTCCGTTCCTGTAGAACTTTGAGCCTTGTATTTTCATGGCAAAGCCGAGATCAGTGATGACACAGGATAAGTCTGGTTTCACCAGTATATTCCGTGTGTTGAAGTCCCTGTGAGCAATGGCGGGCTTTATTTTATCTGGAAAGCAAAGAAGGGGAAAACACCTTCAAAAGATTTGTTTTACGAGTTAAACAAGTAAAATCTAAATATTGTCTGAAGAAACTGATGATTTTGACACGACAACAATGACATTAAGTTTAATTTCCTGATGAAATCTATGGAATATATGGACATGAGAGTCAAATATAAGATTCTATTTTCATTCTTTATTTGACCTAATCTGAATAACTTTATCCAAATGACCAGTTAAGTTTCTGACAATGGAAATCATCCAATTCAACCTAAAAGGGGGCTTTCTGAAGTGTGTTACATCATAAAAGACTAGAGAACATGCAAAAATCCACATGATTTGGTTTTAACCTTTTAGCAACAAGGGAGGAAACTCCATGCTAATGATGAATTTTGTTTAGAAAGCAATTTACAAAAGAAAAATTAGAAACATGGTGAATATGTACTGTTGTGCAAAAGTCTGTAATTTGACAAAACAACCTGGAAAATATCCATTGATAAGTCAGTTATTATTCACTGCTGCACTGCACTTGCAAATCCTATATTGTTTTTTACCCCTCTCCTCTCCAAATCCAGAGTATTTTTTGCTCGATTTCCCCAAAGCTGTAGGCTAGCACAGATGATAACCATAAAAAACCAATTTATTCACATCAGATTCATATTTCCAAAAGCATTAACTTTTATTCCATGGAAATTTTCAATGGAAAATTTCAACCACAAAAAATAGGAATTTTATTCATCTGAAATTATAACCTTATCACTCTTTTTTATTATATAAATATTGTTTTTTATAAAACAACAAAAGGGCAGATAAATAATTGGCTACCTGTAATGGCCAAAAGCCCTACAGAAGCTTTCACAAAATTTTTTAATCATGAGTATCAGTCCTTATACTTAAAGATACAGTTGGTTTCTGTAATAAGGGTAAACTACCGCTTTTCATGTCATCTTTCCTTTAAGACACCACACTACAAACATTGGCCCTGGCTTTTGCTAGGTTGAGGAGGTCAATGCGTGTTTCACATGCAAAGGGCACCACTGTTCTAACATGGAGGTGGCACCGTATGCAATTAGATGCATCATTAGGAGTAGGAGCACACATTTTCATCTGCACTTTCAGTGGCCTATTACCAGGAACGAGGAGGGGGTCATAAGCGACTGGGGCAAAACTGCTGCCATGCTGGAATAATTTCTTCTCATAAGTGTTGAGTTATTTCTGCTTCTGTTTGTAGGCAAAACCAAAAATATCTATATAAATACACTGTAAGATATGCTGTCAGGGGCAATGCCATGAAGAGGAAATGAACAGAAGTCTAGCAATCCAAATTGGTTTTATATTAAAAACATAGTTATAACATCTTATAACACAACTTGGTAATATTTTCCCCCCAAGTGTGTTCGAGTGTGTGTATATGTGTGCTGGTGAGCAGAAGCACAAAAAAAAAAAAAAAAAAAAAAAAAAAAAAAAAACATTTTTTTTTCTTTTTCACAATATCATTAAGTCAACCTGTTCTTAAGCCAAAACTGGATTGGAGAGATGAACACATTAACATTTATTGCTGGTATATGCTATAGTTGAAAATTGCCCCCACCAACTCACCTCCTTTCTGAATGTCTGTATGTAGATGTGCCAGTCCACTGGCAACGGACTGACACATGCGGCACATGGCGGCCCAGTCCACCGTATTGTTCTTTAAGTAAACAGCCAACGAACCGTGGGGAATGTACATTAACACCAGCATTTGCTGCATTATGCCTTCCGAAGTCAGGCGTTCTTCGGCTCCGTAGAATTTCACAATATTGTCATGCTCCATGTGCGGAAGCGTGTATATATCCAACTCGTTTAAATAAAACTGTTTCTGGGCTGGAGTGAATATTTTAACAGCTACATCCATCTCTCCTAAGGATGCCTTCCAGATTTCCCCATATCTTCCTTTACACATCATATTTGACAGTTTTAGGTCGTCCATGTTAAACCGTGGTACAGGTATGGTTACAGGGGTTTCCACTAACGTTAAGGCGTCTGGCGGTGTTTTACAAGATCCCAACCATATCCTGAACCCCAGGTATGACACCAGAATGAGCAGTGCCACGCCACACACTGACGTCAAAGAGATGATAATTGTCTTTTCCTTGTAACTGGTGTCGTGATAATAAAATGCTGGAAATTAAAACAGATTCCACATATAAATATAGCTTGTAGGAAGGGGAATTTTAAATTATTCATATACAAAGGTTATACTAAAGGCCAATTCACTCTGTTACATAGAATACATGAAGCATTTAAGATCAGGTATTTGAATTGATAAAAGAAAGACCTTTAACAGTCAAACAAGTTGTTGTTTTTTTTTCCGCATTTTTTTATATTTAACCTCATTATCATTCTGAATTGCATCAAAATCATAAGTGCAAAATTAGCTAATCTAGCTTATCCAATTTCCATCAAACAGATTTCAACTCACCAGTCCCAGGAGAGGGCCGCACTGTCGTGGGTGGAGCGCCCCCTATAGTAATGTTCATATTGCACTTGTTGCCCTTACAACAGCAGTAGCGCATGCTGGAGTTCTTAATGGTGGAGTAGGACACGCAGCTGCTGGTCTGACAGTTCATGTCTTCTGAGTTGATCCAGCACCCTGAATGATAAGCATATATATACCAATATAAAAACCTGTGGATATTTAAGGCATAATGGTATACCTTTACCACATGTACAACGTGTATATATCGTAAACATTAAATACACAAAATAAATGGCAGATGCCGTGTATAAACAACTCATGTTTTTGGAGATGCGATCAGCTATCTTTGAAAACATGAGTTCTTCGTATAACTACTTTCCAGAATCTGAATCAGAGCTGAGTATCACCATTGTATGANCGTCAAAATCTTATTACTGGCTGATTGCACAGAAACTATTCAGGTACGTGCACACTTACGTCAGTGAGAGCAGCGTGCTCTACGTTCTCCTCATGTCCGTTCCTGTAGAACTTTGAGCCTTGTATTTTCATGGCAAAGCCGAGATCAGTGATGACACAGGATAAGTCTGGTTTCACCAGTATATTCCGTGTGTTGAAGTCCCTGTGAGCAATGGCGGGCTTTATTTTATCTGGAAAGCAAAGAAGGGGAAAACACCTTCAAAAGATTTGTATTACGAGTTAAACAAGTAAAATCTAAATATTGTCTGAAGAAACTGATGATTTTGACATGACAACAATGACATTAAGTTCAATTTCCTGATGAAATCTATGGAATATATGTACATGAGAGTCAAATATAAGATTCTATTTTCATTCTTTATTTGACTTAATCTGAATAACTTTATCCAAATGACCAGTTAAGTTTCTGACAATGGAAATCATCCAATTCAACCTAAAAGGGGGCTTTCTGTAGTGTGTTACATCATAAAAGACTAGAGAACATGCAAAAATTCACATGATTTGGTGTTAACCTTTTAGCAACAAGGGAGGAAAATCCATGCTAATGATGAATTTTGTTTAGAAAGCAATTTACAAAAGAAAAATTAGAAACATGGTGAATATGTACTGTTGTGCAAAAGTCTGTAATTTGACAAAACTTTTAGAGAAAACAACCTGGAAAATATCCATTGATAAGTCAGTTATTATTCACTGCTGCACTGCACTTGCAAATCCTTTGTTTTTTACCCATCTCCTCTCCAAATCCAGAGTATTTTTTGCTCGATTTCCCCAAAACTGTAGGCTAGCACAGATGATAACCATAAAAAAACCAATTTATTCACATCAGATTCATATTTCCAAAAGCATTAACTTTTATTCCATGGAAATTTTCAATGGAAAATTTCAACCACAAAAAATAGGTATTTTACTCATCTGAAATTATAACCTTATCACTCTTTTTTATTATATAAATATTGTTTTTTATAAAACAACAAAAGGGCAATAAATAATTGGCTACCTGTAATGGCCAAAAGCCCTACAGAAGCTTTCACAAAATTTTTTAATCATGAGTATCAGTCCTTATACTTAAAGATACAGTTGGTTTCTTTAATAAGGGTAAACTACCACTTTTCATGTCATCTTTCCTTTAAGACACCACACTACAAACATTGGCCCTGGCTTTTGCTAGGTTGAGGAGGTCAATGCACGTTTCACATGCAAAGGGCACCACAGTTCTAGCATGGAGGTGGCACCGTATGCAATTAGATGCATCATTAGGAGTAGGAGCACACATTTTCATCTGCACTTTCAGTGGCCTATTACCAGGAACGAGGAGGGGGTCATATGCGACTGGGGCAAAACTGCTGCCATGCTGGAATAATTTCTTCTCATAAGTGTTGAGTTATTTCTGTTTCGGTTTGTAGGCAAAACCAAAAATATCTATATAAATACACTGCAAGATATGCTGTTAGGGGCAAAGCTATGAAGAGGAAATGAACTGAAGTCTAGCAATCCAAAATTGGTTTTATATTAAAAACATAGTTATAACATCTTATAACACAACTTGGTAATATTTTCCCCCCAAGTGTGTTCGAGTGTGTATATATGTGTGCTGGTGAGCAGAAGCACAAAAAAAAAACAAAAAAAAAAACAAAAAAAATTTTTTTTTCTTTTTCACAACATCATTAAGTCAACCTGTTCTTAAGTCAAAACTGGACTGGAGAGATGAAGGCATTAACATTTATTGCTGGTATATGCTATAGTTAAAAATTGCCCCCACCAACTCACCTCCTTTCTGAATGTCTGTATGTAGATGCGCCAGTCCACTGGCAACGGACTGACACATTCGGCACATGGCGGCCCAGTCTACCGTATTGTTCTTTAAGTAAACAGCCAACGAACCATGGGGAATGTACATTAACACCAGCATTTGCTGCATTATGCCTTCCGAAGTCAGGCGTTCTTCGGCTCCGTAGAATTTCACAATATTGTCATGCTCCATGTGCGGAAGCGTGTATATATCCAACTCGTTTAAATAAAACTGTTTCTGGGCTGGAGTGAATATTTTAACGGCTACATCCATCTCTCCTAAGGAGGCTTTCCAGATTTCCCCATATCTTCCCTTACACATCATATTTGACAGTTTTAGATCGTCCATGTTAAAACGTGGTACAGGTATGGTTACAGGGGTTTCCACTAACGTTAAGGCGTCTGGCGGTGTTTTACAAGATCCCAGCCAGATCCTGAACCCCAGGTATGACACCAGGATGAGTAGTGCCACGCCACACACTGACGTCAGAGAGATGATAATTGTCTTTTCCTTGTAACTGGTGTCGTGATAATAAAATGCTGGAAATTAAAACAGATTCCACATATAAATATAGCTTGTAGGAAGGGGAATTTTAAATTATTCATATACATAAGTTTTACTAAAGGCCAATTCACTCTGTTACATGGAATACATGAAGCATTTAAGATCAGGTATTTGAATTGATGAAAGAAAGACCATTAACAGTCAAACAAGTTTTTTTTTCCGCATTTTTTACATTTAAACTCATTATCATTCCGAAATGCATCAAAATCATTAAGTGCAAAATTAGCTAATCTAGCTAATCCAATTTCTATCAAACAGATTTCAACTCACCAGTCCCAGGAGAGGGCCGCACTGTCGTGGGTGGAGCGCCCCCTATAGTAATGTTCATATTGCACTTGTTGCCCTTACAACAGCAGTAGCGCATGCTGGAGTTCTTAATGGTGGAGTAGGACACGCAGCTGCTGGTCTGACAGTTCATGTCTTCTGAGTTGATCCAGCACCCTGAATGATAAGCATATACCAAATAAAAACCTGTGGATATTTAAGGCATAATGGTATACCTTTACCACATGTACAACATGTATATATCGTAAACATTAAATACACAAAATAAATGGCAGATGCCGTGTATAAACAACTCATGTTTTTGGAGATGCGATCAGCTACGTATCTTTGAAAACATGAGGCCTTCGTATAACGACTTTCCAGAATCTGAATCAGAGCTGAGTATCACCATTGTATGATGTCATACCCCCAGTGTGATGTCACAGCACCATTGTATGATGTCATACCCCCAGTGTGATGTCACAGCACCATTGCATGATGTCATAGCTCAACTGTACAATGTCACAGCAGCTATGTCAGAGAAGCATTGAATGATTGCACAGCACCTTTCTATGGCTACATTTACAACAGCGGACCAACAATTATGGGTACCCACTTAAAAACTTGCTGTCTAATCTCCTATTAGACAATGGTAAATGTTCTGCTATTGTAAATGCAGCCTATGTAATAGAACTCCTCTGTTGACAATCCATTAGAGTTCAGTATACATCAAAGAACTGCACACTGCAGCTTCTTGTATTTTAACCGATTTATTTTCCAAATCAAAACTGGCAATCCTTGGCCATCTTGCATGTTAAGTGCACTAATGTGATTGACATTAAAGCTGAGTGTAGTTAACCTCGCCACTTGTTTTCAACACCTGTGTCCAGAAAAAACAACATCTCTATTATGCTATTTGTGGAAATACAACAGACAACATGACAAGCAACACAAACACAAATGTTGGACACCCTATTTCATTAATGTCTAAATCAAAGCCAAATGTATACACCTATCTTTGGTTGGCAAACAACGTGAAAAGAATCCTGTGTTTGTCTAATATGTTTCTTATTGAAGGAGGTCATTCACCTTGACAAGTAATAAAAACCCACTGTTACCAGGTACAAATGATTAATAAAACAACTATACACACTACGTCAATTATTCTGGAAAGCCTAATTACAATATCCCGCATGCCATTAAAACGGAATCTTAATGTTTTATGGGATTCTTGGTTTCATGGTTTTACTTGATTAACAGAGCATCCATTCCTGTAATTTGCAAGGCCAAAAGACAAGCATCAAACAGTTAACATCTCTACCTTCTATCTGGTGGTGACAATAAGCTAACATATCCCAACTGTCAACTTATGTCATCAATTATATTTGAACCAGGGTTTAAATTGCTCAACAGCTTTCTCAAATTCTTTGCAAATATAGTTTAGACTAACAAAGGCTTTTAATATGTTCATAAACCCAAATGAAGAGGAGGTCAGCGGCGGCGGCCGCGGTGGTGGTAGGGGTTTGAGGTGGTGGCAGTAAGTCACTTAGGTCACAAAGGTCATTTCAAAGTTCAGAAAATGCCACAGATGTTTCATTACGCAACCATTTCAAAAATGTCTATTAGAGACATCGCTTCATGTTTTATATCTGTTAAGATACAAGTACACAGATGTATGCACACCCACACACTTCCACTCCCTTAATGTGGACCAGTGGTAAGTAATCAAAATCAACCTTTAAAAACAATTCCTACAAATGTGTTCAAATTCAATTCAGGGCAACACAAACAGTGGTTTTTGCACACATGTGAGTGTGCACTTGCACACACACACATGCGCACACACACAGTGGTTCAGTGCAAAGTAACAATGACTTTTAAACCCCGTCCTAACATATACAAGAACCACTTTAAATCACCGTTAACTGGCACAATAATGTATCACCAGGGCCAGATTAATTAAATAACTATGTTCGAAAATTGGACCAAAATTTTATTCACTTCAGCCCAAGACATATAAATTTACTAGTACAGTGATCCAAATGTGTAGAGTAAATATTAGTCTGACATCATCTTCAAAACAGGAGTTATACTTAAATTAATTAATTACCACTAAAAATTTGGTCTGATGGTTCATCAGTTTTGGGCAAGTGGATTTTTTTTTTTTTTGCGAAACAAGTTCTGAGTGCTTGAATCAGGTTGACATGTACTAGTAATTGTGTCGCAGTAAATCATTTGGGTGCCACTGCTTAATATTCATCACTGTCTAACTCGGACAGTCAAGGGGCCAGTTTTTCATAAGTACTTACAACAGCGGTTCCCTCCTCTTTAAATATTTTGGTCTTTACTTGATGACTAGGAATTTAAGTCAACTTAGATCAAGGTTAATTCAGTGGTAGTCTGCTAAAATATGAATACCACACTTGACTTAAAACTTTCATAAAACAGTGACCTATCCTGAAAAATTTGAACATCAAAATCCATCTTTTTGAGCTGGGCTGGTTACCACCAGACAAACAAAGGGAGGTGAATATAATGGAAATATATATAAAATGAAATAAAAAACTAATAGAAATATATACATATATATATATAATAAAATGAAAAAAAAAAAACTACATCACGAGGCAACTCTACCTGGATGTCGTGATACTAGTCTATCACTCAAACATGGCACAATGATAAAGGGGGACACATAGTGGTCATGAAACCTTCACATTAAAAATAGATTTTGTCCCAACTTCCATATTTTACCTGTAATACCCAACGCTAACTTCTCCCTGTTCTTTCATTCAATACCCTGGATCCACAAGTATTTGAGAAAATTCCACATGAATGAAATTCCTCCCCGACCTTAAATGCTGTCAAGCCTGTAGCCAACAATTTCAAAATGTTTTTTTTTTTTTTTTGGAGGGAAAAGATGTCCTTTTTCATCCCCTTAGTTGACCCCTAGCTTGAGAAATGGCATAGAACCTGGACCAAAAGGCAATTATTATAAAACCCATTACCCCCCCCCCGGGGCTTGGTTACAACCTTTCTGATCATAATATCAATGCAATTGCAGTTTTTCTAAAAATGAAAAAATAAATGAATAAATACATAAATAAAAAAAATTACTTCAAATCTTTTTGGTGATAGTTATGCAAATTCCACTCAGCCACCGAGTGCCCTGTCTAATTCTGCTGCTGAGGAAGCCACTTTACCTCTAGAAATCCATTTTCAAGTTTTAACTTTCACATTTTCATTGTTATGAATGATACAAGATAGTATCTATTATCCATTACATCTGGGGGAGGGGGCTCAAAAACTAGAACCTTAAAGCTCAAAACTGGCTGTATGGATCATAATGCTGTTAATATAATGCTATTTTGGACATGGTAGGCCTTGCTGATTAGGTGAAAATTGTGGAAATTTCCAAGCAATTTTATCTAACACACACTATCTGCCTTTAATAACTATATTAATTAACTTTCATTCTAGCCCATATTACGCGGTGATAATGAATGTGGCAGACTAACGAGCACAATAAGAAGTTGTATTAAATGACCTTGATCACTTGCAATGACAACCAATGTCAATTGATGCTGTAGTGTCAGTGACACTGCCAAATGAAACTGTGCCATAATAGGCTAGTGCTGTGACATTGCAGGCTAGTGCTGTGATATTTTAGGTAGTAGTCTGCCATTATAGGCTAGTCTGGGGTAGCGCTAGCACTCGCCAATTTAGCCAAATGCTAAAACTGACTTAAATTGACTAAAGAAAAAGGGCTTGATTTGACATGTTTTAGCCAAATTATAACCATTTTGGTAACAAATTGACAAAAATGTGGTGATTTGGCTAAGCGAAAAAAATTGCTAGCGCTACCCCAGATAGTGCTGTGACATTGCAGGCTAGCGCTGTGATATTTTAGGTAGTAGACTGCCATTATAGGCTAGTGCTGTGACATTGCAGGCTAGCGCTGATATTTTAGGTAGTAGTCTGCCATTATAGGCTAGTGCTATGGTATTTTTAGGTGGTGCTGCAACATTCAACGGCTGCCAGCTTAGACCTACTTACAGTTCTGATGTGACATGGGTAGAACAGTGACATTGAAATGAAAGCTGTGACATTACAGAAGAGTACAGTGACATTTATGGTATGATGACCTGCTGCACACATTACTCTGTTTGAAACTCAGTGACATGGACTGACAGACATACAGACAGACAGAAAAAAACTCCCCTTACAGGCAACTTCTGCCACAGATAAGCCGATAACTAAGGGCGCATTCCCATAGATTTTAGATCGATCTATCCCCGTAGGGAGTCTCACTAGATTACTGTCAGATAATCCGGCTTAAATGTCCATCCCGCCTACTACAAACTGTAAGGAGGTAAATAACTTTCGTGCCCGCTTGGCTGACAGCTATTTAGCGTGAACCCCTAGGGAGTTAGGTCGATCTAGTTGGATCGATCTAATCTCTGGGAATGGGGTCTAATGCACGTGGTTAGTTTATGCACAGGAACATTAACAGTTCAAATACATCACATAAACAACTGCATCTATACAGCTGCCACAATTCAAACTAATATTTTCTGCAATTTCTTCCAACTCTGTCCTCTTCTTTTTATTCCATCTCCTAAACTAAGCACACCCCCACCCTACCCAAATTTTTAACTCTTCACCAAGGACTGCGATTCCAAATCCCTTAAGAAATTAAAATTTTATTATGTAGTGCAGAGATTAATAAATTGTAACGATGGCGATAATAATAATAATAACAATAATAATAAATAATATTAATAATAATTATAATTACAATTATGATAATAAACAACATAGTTTTATATTGATCCACATGCCCCTGTACTTCCTACAGCTGCACAGGTAAGTCAGTAGTAGTTGCCAATAATCAAGGCACAGTCTCCTGCATACTGGAGCCCTATGCAGTCTCGCCTGACCTAGTCAGCTACCCTGGATGGCAGTCAAAGGCTTCGCATTCTCTCCTCAATGCAAATATTGACCAAGTCTGTAATACTTAACAGATGTAGACACAGTCTGCTGGGCGAGACAGGTAGGGCTTTTATATCCGACATGGATTCAATTTGTTTTTCGATCCCAGCAAATAAAAGAACCACACCGTGGAACTTGAAAATTTGTGTTTGGGATGTGAATAAATACCAGAGGTCAATGCGACCCAACTGCAGTATGAGTAAATAGTCATGGTTGAGAGAAATTAGTTAGGAAGAGCACACTACTACTTATTATCAATAGTATCTAACGTGGGAGCATTTTGTAGACTTTCATCTGTTCTCTCTCTCTGGTTGCATTCACAACTGTGGACTAACTAGTCCGTGGATCAAATATGGCAACCCAAGATTGCCATCTAATCCCCTAGTGAATTTGTTCCCTGTGGGGATTACACAACAAGCATTCAGGTGGGTCGGCCATATTCGAACTGCGGACTGGTTAGTCTGCTGCTATGAATCTGCTATTTTCTCTTTCTTTCTCTAGTTTTCTATAAATCTATTTTGCCATGACGTCTCTTCGTCTGACTCTGTTGCATAAATGATTTATAACAGGACATCAGAAACAAACCCATTTTTTCCTTTTTTATTTTTACAAAAGTAATCCTTTCACTTTTTAAAATTCTTTTTGGTATCTCCCCTTTTTTGTGGGACTAATTACCAATTCTAAACATTTTATTTTCATTTAATATCACTACACAGTATAACAGATCCTAACATGAATTGTACAACATATTGTTACAACGCAGCTGAAGATTGTCCTACTTCTTGAATGTCACGCACATTTTAATTGGGTGAAGCTGGAGACTGCAGATATACCATTAACCATTTTCCTATAATATTTGATCCACTTAATGCCGTTGGTGAAGATCCCCCTACTTTTTAAATGTCATGCACATTTTCTGGTGAATCTAGGGTCAGAAGATATTAGATAATTTCCATTAACGCTGAAAAAAGTACTTCTGCAACTGATCCACCAGATGGCGTTGGTGTTGCCCACTTGGCATACAGGCTCTTCTTCCTTATTTTGTTAAATGCCATCAGTGTCAGAATAGTGCCAGATCATCTTTTCTTACACTTGAAAGGAAAGAGTACAAATGCCCTTAAAAAAGACAGAGGTATCTTCTGACGCTAGTTCTTGGAAGAGGGAATGATCAATGATGTTGCGTGATAAAGTCATCTTTGGTCTACCTGAGAGTAGTTATATCCCCGCATTTATTTGGAAAGAGTGGCTTGATTAATCAGACTCACTCTGACTTTTCTTCTAAACAGAAGTAGATTTTTAACATTCATAGGTAGCTCATGATTTTTAAGAGAAGCCAAACAAAACATGACAATTTCAATAACAAAAAAGAATTGTCAGCTTTTCACAAGCCAAATAAACCAATGGCAGAATGAAACAGTTTTAGTGTTTTCAACTAAAAAAATTTTCAGAATAATACTGAATGCATTTGGCTCAAAAACTGCCTTTACCACCCCTTTTTGGGACCTCTTTTACTTCAAAGCATCAACTCAGGCCTCACGCTTGCTAAGTATACATTACTCAGACAGAAGACAAGGAAAAGGCGGAACAGTCCCAGATCATATTTGAGATTGGGCAATTATGTGCAACCTGTGTAATGTAATGCAAATATATCATTAAATTAAGGGGGGAAAACCTGACAAATACATGCCCCATATTTTCACCACTGTATTTTACTGCAGTTATAACTAGTAAACAAAAAGAAAGGAAGCTATGAGCTCGACAAATCTCAGTAAAAATACTAAGGCTTTGAAACTATATGATGTCATTTGGTTGGTTTTGGGGGCAATGATTTGACATGTCAAATTACTTCAAATTCGTCTTTAAGTAGAGAAAGCACAATGATTAGTGTGTAACACCCAATCAAAAAAAAAAAAAAACCTTTTAATAAACACTAACCTTTTAGGAAAATATAGCTATAGCGGTTCATCCAGTAGAGATGTTCAATATTAATATCATGCTGGACACTTACGTATATCTGCTAAATGTTTTGCAGTTCCCTGATGATGTCCTTCTGATAAAGGGCAAAATGTTGGAGTTTCTACATAACACCTAGCAAATCTACATAACTGTCCAGTATGACACCCCATTTCCATAGATTTTTAGATCGATCTATCCCTGTGGGGAGTCTCACTTGATTACTGTCAGCTTGGCTGGCTTAAGTGTCTGTCCCGCCTACTAAAAGCTGTAAGGGGGTAATTAACTATGGTGCCCGCTCGGCTGACTGCAATTTAGCGTGAACCCCCAGGGAATTAGGTCGATCTAAATCTTAATCTCTAGATTGATCTAAATCTCTGGGAATGCACCCTTAGATTTAATATTTCTGCCTTTTAAACACTGACCTTGTTTCAGCACCGTAAAATGTGTCTTGTTCGTGGACCCTGCCTGCCACAGAGTGAAGCACTTGTTGTATACATCAGGACATCGAACAGTTTTGTTATCTGCCATTACATCGGGCTGTTCCGGATACTTCACTCGGTCATCGTTGCGGGAGAAGTTCTTCACCATCTCTTCGTTTTCTCTTGTCTGCGTTGTCTTATTCTCCAAATAGGCACAGTAGGTGTATTTGCCTTCTGTGGAACCTGAAATGAGAATCGCAATAAGTTACGTATCTGACATATCAGTTTTACTGCAATGATGTAAGTTTAGACAGTTTTCACTGCATGAACTATGGTTTCTATAAATTTACTGATTTTAAGGGCGGGGATTTGGGATTTGGGGTACAGGGAATCCAAATTGTGAATCTGTAATTTGGTCATCGATTTACAGGGACTCCAACCCAAGCAAGCCCAACCAACCAACCAACCAACCCAAAAATTTTGTATGGCATCCAGCCATCTTTGGAAAACATAGATAGTCTTTTGAGGCTAATGGCCCCCAAATGATGGCTGGGCGGCTCTATGAGGAAAGCCTAGCTGATTTCTAACCCCCCCCCCTGCACACACACACACACACACACACACCACCACCACCACCACCACCACCACCAGTGCCTCACAATCAGCCACCTCCCCCTGTAAAAAAAAATAACCTCTTATTAAGTCAGCAGGCAAATGCAAAATATGTAATTCTGCTATGACTACTAACCAATGCAGACTGTATGGCATATAAGTACCTATACATGCGTAGTGTATTAGCGATAAATTCAGGTACAGGTCAAAACATAATTGTGTGACAAAATATAACAGTCTGTGCCTTGTCTGTTCAATATGTTACTCTTATAAGAATGAAATGCTTTGTGTAGCTATGAATATGAAACAGGCACTTTTATAGTAACAGTTTTTTTTTTCTGCTCTGGAATAAGTTCAGAAACAGACATAACATAATAGCTGCTATACATAATTCATGTTTCTTATCTTTTTAAAGTTTCATACGAGGCGAGATACATAGAAAGTGCCCTGTAATGCGTGTAAAATATTATTACCAGTTTCTTACAAAACAAATAAAATCCACATCAATAACAAGTACTATGTTAATCAGGGAGCAGAAAATAGCTTTAAAACACCACTCTCATCAAATTTCTGGTTGTAAATTTGACTAATTTATACCCCTCCAGTTTGTAAAGCATAGAAGGGCAGCAGGAAATCTATGTGTAATACCATTTTTCTAGGATTAAATGTAATAAAACTCAGTGTTTTTCTTTAAAGTACACTACTTAAAAAAGCTAATGGTGGCATTTGATCAGGTTAATCAGCAATAATTGAACAGAAGTGCTCACTTAATATGCGTCTTTAATGCTACGTGACAATTTTTCAAAATTACAAATGTATTGTAAGATTAACATAGAAAATCAATCACTATTCATTGCAGTTTTTTCTCAAATAACCTGTATGTAACTCAAATCTGTCACAGCTGCTTAAAAATCTTATCCCCCTTCCCCCCTTTAAAAAATTGTTTAATTCTGCAGGGCATCCATCATTCTATTTCTGGTCTGACGCACAAATGCCCACAGTCCTGAGGTCAAAGTTCATCCACTGTCTGGACAGGGCCTATTATCTCATAGGCTGGGTAAGTTCATTCGGTAAATGGGGAAGGGGTGGTAGCTAGCTAGTGAACAAGGTTCCCAAAGGTTATAATGCAGATGGAGCTGCAAGGCTCTTAGTCCAGTTATATCATGGCTACTGGACATAAAAAAAAAATTATATTCTCAACTAGCAGCTGTCTGGCATCCATACTACCAATTTAATATTGTTGCAATGCCTAGAAGATAACCGTGGTTTAAACTACTACATCTTATTAAGCAAAAATTTGCTTTATTTATTTTGTGCCAGGGATGTCTTTTTGTATATGCTCTTGCCGCTTTTCATCATAAATAGGCCCCACCATATTTATGCCATTTAATATCAACTTGTGCCTCCCCCCCCCCCCCCCCCACCAGTTACACAGTACATATAGAGAGACCTTATTTCATACCAGGCTTTAAATATTTTTTATTTATCTACTGGTGTGACTATTGTTTGATTTAATGCCGAGACAAGAACGTTTTAGTAAAATGTAAGAGGGATCCTAGCATGGGAGTTTCTATACAATCCAAATTTTTAAAATTTTCTTTTCAATTTTTTAACCACTGTATAATATTCATCTTCAACTTCCAGGTGGCACAGTTTTAACACGTACATTTCTTGTTTTCCCTTTCTTTCATCCAGGTTTTTCCAAGCTACCTATAAATTACCATAACCACCTCGTACCTAAGCAGAACATACAGTCAATCAAATACAATTTTTCCGCCATCATTGCAAACCTTAACAAAATGGAATGTTGAAATCAAAACTGAAATTGTCAATTTTTTTCTGAAATTTAACATTTACTTTCTCTCTTTAAACACAGTAAATCATCTTCCACATTAGATGTATGGCCAGAGTAGTATACTAAAGCATTTTGTTACCTCATATAGACCTCATATAAAGCACATAGAAACAGTTGAACTGCTGTTATCTGGTTGGTGCATTAGTAATGAATGCACAGGTATATTGAAGTTACCTGTATTTTGATGCAGTAAGTAATCTTTATCCCACAAGCTTAAGCAATATAGGTACAGTCTTGTTTTTATTCTTCACTGGTCTGCCCGTTCATTTTATGTACATATATTTCAAGCACTTCCAAACACACACAAATTTTATTTTTTACAAATTGCGAATTCTTGATTCCACTACAGTTTGTACAATATTGTAACATATGTATGGATGTTTGTACATACACATAAGCCTTATATATACCTCTTCCTTCATGCAAGTTGTTGCACTCATAATTTGCAAGTGTTACTGCTCTTTTCAATCAATGGTGTATAGATTGCAACTGAACCATTATGCATGTATTAAGATGAGCAAGTCCAGTTTACACCTAGGAAAGAGACTCTTCAGCAAGCCAGGTGCTCTTAGCCTTTATTAGCAAGGATGTTCTGATAATCAATCTAGTCATTCTGTCAAGTTAAATTCAACCATGTGAAAAAAAATTCTATGCATTTTGTTTTAAATGGATCAAAGTTTGGTTCAGACTACCTTTCAAAATAGTGCATTTCCACAGCAAGTCTTCCCTTTAAGGTATAATAAAGATACTGAGCACATTGCAATATTAATATGATCAAGACAGTGCACTGAAAACCCTGCACTTAATAATCCCAAGCACTCAATTTTACTGTCTATAATATCATGAAATATGACTGGGCAATTCTGAATATAGATAAATTGAGAAAAGATGTACGGATAATTGACAGTACTGTCCCTCATGAGGGATATACCTTCATATACATGCCGATTGTGATGAATAATTACAGAGGGTAGGGGGAAACTGTTAATGTACTTAACTTAAACCAATATTGATGGCATTTTTAATACTTCTCTGCCATCGCTGATGCCAACTGATACAAGTTCCTTCAAAAGATGTGAATCAGAATACACTTTTTAATTTAATTTATTGAACCAAGCTTAATCTGTAGTTTAATAACTAGATTATTAAATTTCTGTTCTCCTTCTCTCTCTCTGCCCCCCTCTCTCTGTCTCTTTGTCCCATCCCTCTCCCACCCCCTTCTCTCTATCTGTCACTCCTCCCCCCTCTCTCTCCCTTCTATCT